ATGTGTTGTAAAGTCTCAAAAAGTGGCTGTAGAAAAAAAATGAACAAAAAAACAATTTTTTTAAATAATGGGCTTTAATGGCTTTACAAATCTCTAAAGCCTAAAAAAAGTGATTGACAAATATTTGGCTTTAGTGGCTTTACACAACCACAAAGCCCTCAAAGCCCATACACCAATCAGACTCCGAATCTTTATAAATCTGAATATCTGATTACGATGATACGGTTATCTAAGTGAGAGGGCATAGTAAGACATTCGGAATTATAGTTGATGCCCATAACTTTGTTTAGTTTATGAAAAGATAATGTCGAAATAATTGACTAAAATTCGAAGTAGAAATTTGAATTTGATGTTAGACTAACCAAAAAATTTATTCCATTTACTATATTGTGCTCACTGGGTTTTTTTGGCGTGATTTTAACACTCATTTGTGATATTAGTCAAACTAATTTTGTGTCTTACTAATTTGGTTCTTAGTAATTTTTTAGTATTAAAGTTCAGTAAAAACTTTTGTTAAGAGACACTTAATTTTAATGCTCCCTTGATAGTTTCTTAACTAAAAATTCTTAATTAAATTTTACTAGATGCATAGTCCCCGCGCAAGCGCGGAGTTAGATACATTGTTGATGTGTTGTGTAGTTTTGCGTATGAAACTTTGCTGTTTTTTAACATTTGTTTATCTGACTTATCTATAATGGTGATGAATGAAACAGTAGAAGTCAAACAATTTGATTAGTCTGATAAAAGAATAAACATCGAATTTATATGGGTTGATATTTTCATATTTTATCTTCGTAGTGATTTTATCGAGCATTCCCTTTATTAGTGATTTTATCGAGCATTACTGTTATTAGTGCTTTCATGTAAAAAAATAATTTAATGGAGACAAGACAAAAAAGAACATGTGTTTATTAGTGTAATTCACTTTCTGAAATTATGTTGTAAATCTATATGTATATATTTTTAATTGTGATGTAGATGAAATTTATGGTCGATCTGAATGGTTCGGGGTAAATATTTATTATTGAAAAAATATGTTTTTAATTTTTTTTTAAGATTATAACTGAATTGAAATGATACTGGAAGTTAGAACAAGATAATTTTTCTTATAAAAGTATCTAAGATGGTCTCATAAAGTTTCAAATCCTTAAGCCATTTTGTATCCCAACAACCAGCATAAAAAATCATTCTGAATCTCCCTAAGCTTTTAGGTATCCCGAAAAGCCCAAATTAAAAAAAAAAAAAATTACATGCAAGCACTGCGTTTCGAACCTGCGCACTCACGTTACCAAGTTCTCGTCTCCAACTTACACCACTGGGTCATTTCATCACTTATCAATAATATTCAATCTTAAAAAATCTTATACGTTTTTTTTTCGAATAACACAGACGCGGGACCCACTCGGATGCTGACGTGGATAGCCTTAGGAGCTTCAAAAATGAATCATTATTATATAGATTTTTTTTTTTTGATCAAAGATAAAAAACTGTTTGCGATTCTTGTTAACAAGATAGAACTGTTTAGATAATGGAGAATGGAGAGAATAACATGAGATTATGGACAATTCTTTTTGAAAGAGAATGGTGAGAATACAACACTATTTATAAAGTATTTCTCGACAATGATCGTTGCCTTTTTCTTGTACTAAGTTAAATCTACATCGAAGCTTGTTGAATCTGAATGTTCATTGCCCTGCTTCAAGAAAAAAGTTATCAAATTTATATATCTCTATAATCTCTATAATATTATTTGAGAAGTCACTTTCTTAAGTGTCACATTCACGTTAAGTCTCACATTGGTTAATTACAATGATATGCTTAATGAATTAAAAAAATTATTTAAATATTATTATTATTTTTTAAATTTTCAATAACAATATAAAAAAAAAGAAATTTCACAAAATAGTAATACTTCATTTAAAAGATACTTTTAAATAACATTAAAATATACTTTTGAGGTAATTAAATAATTTCCTTAAATCTATATCTTCTTAGATAAAAAAAAATATTTGTAGATAATGTGATTTCATAAAAAAAAATTTCACACATAATCTTCATGATATTAGAAAAAGAAATAATTTTTCTTTACAAAAATAATTTTAATTAATAAAATATATATCTTTTCAAAGTAATAAAATTTGTTTTTATATATCTATTTATTTTCTTAGTTACATAAAATCAAGTAACATAAACTGATATATGTGTAATTAACAGAAAAGTAATAATTATAATTATTCTTATTGAAATATTTTTAAGACAACAACCAACTTAATATATTTAAAATAAAATAGAATCTTATAGTTGAATTCAGAGAAATAGATTGAATCCAATATGTAAGATTAAATCGACTATAAAAACAAAAAAAGACTAAATATAACATATCTAAAATCATATATATAACTAAAATAATATAATATTATTAATGTAAATTATATAAATTAGTTTTTATTTTAGAAATATTTATGCCGTGCTCATGCACGGGAAGATCACCTAGTATATATATATATAGATAGATAAAGGAACCAGCTTCTTGGTAGGAGCTTTAGCATGTACGGGAAGTGAAGGACGTGGTAGAACATAAGTGGCAGTGCCATGATTAGTTGACTGTAATAGACTCTGCAAACCTCCATTTACATAAGCTCCAGAGACACTGTGATTTCGATTTTTCACACTCAGAGAGTCTACTAATCAAAGAGGATTGTCCATGAAGTTTCTGAAACACTGATAGATGCCTTGGTTCATTCATTTTTTTGTTCCTGCAAAACTCAGCTCAAGATGATCTGCAAAAGCAACAAGAAGCAAACCATGATCAACACTTTTCATAACAAAACACGAGCATACTTAGAAACCTACATGCAAGCTTCTCAAACAGATGATTCTTGGCTAATATCAAGAAGCGCAAAGAATTCACGAGCAGCAAGAACAATCATGGAGAGAAAACAATTAAAAGTAAGAGAAGTGTCAATGATAAAGCTAAGAACATATGTGGAGAGTCTACAGGTATCCCTAGAGCGTCTAGGGAAGAAGATAATTTCAATTGAGAAATGGAGAGAGAATCCGTTTGTTCCATAGAAGATGACTCCTAGCTCATCTCATCGATTACAAGTACTTTAAAAGTTGCTCCTAGCTGTGTCAACAGCTGTTTCCCCCTCTGGCAATAACCACATTAAGTCTTGCTGCAAAACAGGACACAGATCAAACCTTAAGACTCAACAAGGAGATGTGATTCATGAATCAGACATATAAAGCAAACCCAGATGGAAAAGACTCAAGCTTTTGATTAAACAAGACCTCGGAGACAGAGACATGATGCATAATCTATCAAACAGACGTAATCACAGATGAAAAGGTAAAAAGACAGAGTCTTTCAATGATGATCTCTTTAGCTTTGTTCATCACAACCTCCATCTCTTCCTTGTTCAAACGGTTTCCTCTGAACATAGAACCCATCTCTTCTCTTTCTATATATATTGCTCGCTCAACCTTTTTTTTTTTCTTCTCTTCTTCGAGTCGAACACGATCGTGGCCGTTTCGTCGAAGATAGCAACCGATCGGAAGAGATAGGAGAGGAAAAAAACAGAGAGAGAGAAAGAAAAGAAAAAATGAGACGGAAGCGACGAGGCATCTCTCCTTGTGACACGTGCAACGTAAGACAAGTTCCTTGGTTCTCTTAACTAAAGAACGCCTCTTGTGTTTACTTCATTTTTCTTTTTCTTTTTAATTGTAAATAGCCTAAGAAACCTACTTAAGATTCATCAATAAACATGTTAACCATTATCATTGTGAAGTTCGTTTCTTAGCTACATAGTGATATTAAAAAAAATCAAAACATTTCGTTTTTCAGTTTTGTGATAATTGAACCGCGGAAGCTAAAAATTTAAGATGTTTTGTTTGGCGCCAATCTTCTGTGGAGTCTGGAACTTTCAGATGTTTTAATTTTTTTAAAAAAAAAACACAATATAAGGACCGGAGACTGTGTTTAAGAAAAAATGTCAAAAAAAAACGGACCCTGTATTTAAGAAAAAACAAAAAAGTGTCCAAAAAAAGGACTAAAACAATGCATAAAACGTGTTAGATTTTCTTTTTTTTTAACAGCCATAAACTGTGTTAGATCAGAATCAGGTCATCATCAATGGTGAGTATATAACTTCAAAAGATACTGAAAGGGCTCTACCGAATTCGAACCGGTGACCTATTGATCTGCAGTCAATTGCTCTACCACTGAGCTAAGGACCCTTATGTGGGAACCGAAATTCACTTACTGTAAAGATTACGTAAATAAGGGAACTTTGAGTAAACCCTAAGTTCCAAGAGGACCCGGCTATCTGCGGAACCGCACAAGAACGATCAAGACAACGATGAATACGAAAATAAAAGTATAGAAAAACGAGATTGAGAGCAAGAAGGATCTTATTCTGAATTTTTGTAAGAACGGTTACAGCAAGAGTAGTCTTAGCTGCGTGAGCCGTCGGCGAGATTCCTAACCCTAGTTGAGACGCAACTTGATAACAAAAACGGAAAGTTGCATAAATGCTAAGTTTGGTGGTGAAAGCTCTGAATACTCATCCTCTGCTCCTATCATCTGCCTTCTGCTTATATACTCCCTTCCTAGGCGGTTTGGTCCTTCCATTTTGCCCAGATTCGAGTTTATCGAGAATCTTCCATTTATTTCGATCTTTCTTTTTTTCCCAGCGGAAATCTTCTATTTATCTTCAAACTTGACATTTATCTTCAAATTTGACATTTATCTTCTTTCCGCGAGTAAATCGTCAAAACTTCTTCGTATCTTTGGGTTAAACTTCGTTTAAAGTCGCGAGTGAGCTTTTATCGCGTTTTAGGACTTTTCGAGCCGTTTTGCGATAAAACCGTTTTGCGACTTTAGACAAGATCGTTTCCTGATACGATGCTGTTTTAAAGTAAATTACTCGAGTTAATTGTAAAGTTTGGCAATGTTCGATGTTTCGGTTAATCATTGTCGTTTTCTACGATTTATTCGAAGTTTTATTAAAAACGCGTTTTTTACGATTTCTCACGAAAAATCTCGAGTAAATCGTATAGTTTAGGCAATGTTCGGTTTTTCGTTTAACCGTTGCCGTTTTATACGATTTCCTTGAGTTCTTTCGAGAAAACTAAACTTTTCGGTTTTTATCGTAAAACTCGAAAGATAGGACGGATCGAGACGAAACGGGAGACATTTAGATCGTGATTTGGAACATGATCGTGCCGAAGAACGTATGCCTTGAATCGAGGACGTGGGAGATTGAGACTCGGGATAATCAGCTCGACGGAAGACGAGCCGAACCGGACCGGTTCAGCTCGCCGTACGGCGAGCTATGCGGGACGCCCCTAGCTCGCCGTACGGCGAGCTATACGGGACGCCCCTAGCTCGCCGTACGGCGAGCTAGTTCGGCCGAACCAGCTCGCGGTTTACAGCGGATGCGGTTTTTCGTGGTTTTGTGCTTAACTCGGACGATCGTGTAATCGGCGTTTGTTTCGTTCTTTCGAGATAACGATTTCCGAGTTTTCCGTGGATTTCCATTGTTTGGAAACTTATTCGAATTTTATAAAACGACTTCTCGAGTTTTATAAAACGACTTCTCGAGTTTTATAAAACGACTTCTCAAGCTTTATAAAACGTCTTCTCGAGTTTTAGAAAACGTCTTCTCGAGTTTTATAAAACGTATTTAGTATTTTTTTTACGGAAAGTTTTGGTTATTGATTCCGTCGTACCGATTTTAACCCCAACAGTTAGCCCCCCAGCTCGTAAGAATCGTGGAGTTCTTGCGAGTGGTTTGAACTTGTTTGGCAAGCTTGGTAGAATTAGGAAGAACTTTAATGGCCAAAAGTCCAAAGGTGAATATTAAAACTTTTCCTTATAAGTATATGGAGTAAATTTTCAAATTCTTTACTCATTCTCTTCCATAACTTATCTAAGACTTAAGAAGTTTTCTCTCTTCTTCTTTCTTTGGATCTCTTTCTCTCATAGTTGCCAAACATGTTTTCAAAAAGAAAAACTCGTTCCTCAACCAATTCCGATTGCCGCAGCTCCGAACGAACGTGCTTGCAGCCTCGAGGTGTAGTTCCGAAAGAGGAGTCCTTGTTTCCGTCGGTCGACCCAAGAGATCATGAGGCGTATTGGGATATAGGAGGCGAGTCGGGTTCCGCTAGACCTGGGACTTGGGTTCCATCTTCGTTCGATGCCAACCAAGCTCTCGAATGCCCGGGTTCGGCTCGTCCCAATGGTCTTGAATTCATTAGGGAGTTTTGCCGAGTTCCAGAAGCAGTCGAGTTTCGCCTCCCGCTAGCTGGAGAAAGAGATAAAGTTGCGCCCGACGGTTTCTTTACGTGCTACAACGTGTTTCTATTCCAATGTCATTTGTAGTTTCCGATTCCAGAGATCGTTGTTCGATACCTTCATAGGCTCGGACTGTCGATCAGCCAGATGAGCCCACGCAGCTTGCAACAACTCGTCAGTCTCTTGACGTTAAGTTACGAACGGGGAATAATCCTCAGCGTTTATCATCTCGAGGGTTTACTGAGACCCGAGGAGACGACGCGGAGAATTAACTTATGTCCTCGCACGGAGATAGTCACTGGTGCATGTCGAAGTACCCTTCCTAGAAGAAAAACTTCTTTTATGTTCGTATTGACGGTGCATCAGTTGAGGAGAACTGCATTCCCTTTTTCGTGACCACCTGGGGTCGGAAAGGTGCGATCCGAACGCATACGATTTACTTCTTCTTTTCTTTTTCTTTTTTTTACTTATTTGCTTTTGTTTTCTGCAGAGACCAATCCTTTACCCCCGCATGCAGCGGATCTTCCGATTGTTACTGCTTCGCTTCAGCACGGGGAAGCTTGCTGGGTTAGTTTTTCTCCGCAGCGTGTACGTCGTGCGGTTGCCTTTTATCAATCTCGGCTCTCTGCGGATTCTCCGATTCGTGAAGAGGATCCGTTCATAGGAGAATTCATCCCATACGTGCCTTCGACGAGGAGGGACAGGTAGAGATCTCGTAAAGACAAGCACTTGGCCGTTGACGATGATACATCCGACCGCACCACCTCTCCTGACAATATTCTCAAGGATTTCCTAGATAGTCAGGCGGACGAAGGCGTTTAGGCAAACGCAGGCGGATCATCAACCTCTAATTTCCCGGGTGGCGATCCTGACTTTGTTCCGGAGTTTGCCAAAGGATCTGAGCAAGCTAACGAGGTTTGTTTTATTTAGACAACTTACGATCGGAAAAATTCGCTTATCTTCTCTTTTTATAGGGCCTTCCAACCATGAGCCGAGCCCTAAATGACAGCTGCGCCGAAGCTCGTCTTGCCGAGTTTTGCGTGGACATGGCGGAAAAAGAAGTTGCTTGTCTTCAGGCGGAGATTGAGGCCAACCAATCCGGAGAAATGGTCGAGAGGGAAGTAACTCGTGTAAGGAGTGAGTATCCGGTTAATGCTCGCTGTGCAAGGGAGCTTTCTGATCGGAGAGTTCGTCGCGCTCGCCGTGCAGGTAAAAGGGAGGTTGCGGAAGAAATGAGGATCCGTCGTGAGCATTTTTCAACCGGCTACTCAAATGCCGAGGTCGCTCAACGGGCCAACGGTGATTACCTCGAGTGTCGCGGTGTTGTTCATGGGTTGTCTCTTACTCAAAACGAGGGTTACTCGTATGCCAAAGAGTATCACGTGCAGTTGAAGCGTTTGGATCATAGGAGCGATATGCAGCGTGAATTATTTGATCTCAGGGCGCGCATGTGGGATCAGTGGAAACCTATCGTGGTGTCACCGGATTCAGTTGAAATCGGGCCTGAGATCCTGGACGCGAGTGGCGAATTCGATCAACCGTGGTTTGATGCTAATGTTGGCCAGAGCTCGGCGTCCGTGTTTGATGATTTTGATGTATAATGTTATTGTTTTCTGATTTTGTTGTTTTTCCGGGACTGGCCGTTGGTGGCTTCGAATCCCTGCCGCTGGGCGGCGTGTATTTGAATGAAAACTTTTAATAAAAATATTTTCTAAGTATGAAATATGTGTTTCGTTTTAGATGTAGAGGGAAGAATACGAGTTGTCGTCTTGCATCTAACTCTTGGTGTAGATCGTCCGGTTCGTTTACTCGGAATGTTTCGATTTTCGCGAGTGTTTAGATGTGGGCGAAAAGACATGCCTTTAGGACCTCAATTCATGCCTTGAGACGTTAGAGACCAGTGTGCTGGGTTTAGGGCAAGACCTAAGTTGACTTTCGGATTGAGGTTATGCGATGACTAGTCGGCTTTCATTTTGCATGTTGCGATTTTAACATGATTCCATACCGATTTAGAATCCGTGATAGGTTTTCGGTTTATACGATTCGTCTGGTTGGAACCGAGCATCTCACCCGGAAAAATTTCTAAGTTTCCCGGAAGTGCTGGCCAAAAATTTGGATTTCTTTTATAGCGCGCTATTATATCCTAGTCGGATGT